AAATCCTATTTGTTTGAACAACCCCCGCACGAGGCATGTGTGTGTTGCGCTCGTCAAACAAAAATATAAAACACAAAATGTTGTCAGCTGCATTTCGCGCTGGGTGTGAAGAAAATGTCTATTTTATGTAATGTTTGGTAACGCTATAAATATAATATCTTCATTAGAGTGGCGGAAAATGTCCTAAAAGTATATATATCCCAAAGATAAAAGTGAATTTTAGAAACCAAATTAATTAGTGTATTTAGGATGGCATAAGAAACATTAATGCAATGGTTTTACAAATTTAAAATTATTTTTTCTAAAATCTAAATAAATACGAATCTTTTCTTAAAATACTTGGTTAGCTTTATTAGGAAAGAAATTAAATTGTGCCAAAAGAAACTCGCATGAATTACCATTTAAAGACGTCCTAAATAAAATGTTCTTTTAATATTGTGATTCGGTGGGCTCACTGCCACCGTAAGACCGTAAAACCGTACTTATGTAGGCTACAGACTGGGTTGGATGCTCCGGCACAAAGAAGTGGAAGTTGCCACTCGAGTTGGCCAAGTGTGGAAGCTGCCAAAGAGGGTCTCTCCACGAGCCTCCCCTTCTGCCCTTTATGCCATACAAGTTTATTTGATGAGGGGGCTGTTGCCTTGTTTTTTTTCTTTCTTTTTCATTTGCACTGTTTGTTTGCTTGGCCACTCTCCATTTGCGGCTTGTTTACGGCATAAGCCAACCTGCTGCATATTTAAAGTTGTCAACCGGGCAACAAAAGGTGGCAGGCCAACGATGACGACAGCCATTAGCAGGCTGAGAAGCATCTTTGAGCTCGCCGATCGGGAGTGGGTAGGTGTATCTTAGCAGACGCTATTAATTGTTTCTTGTGGCAGCCGAAGAAGTGGAAGCAGTGGCAGCAGTTGCATCTGCAGCTGGGAAAACGAGAAAATGCGTCGCCGAAGAAGTCACACAAGCCGGGAGAAGTTGCGCTCCGTCTAATAACTGAAAATCGTGACTTTATGTCTGCACTTGAAAAACGGAGGAGCAGAACCAGCGAACACAATACGCTGTAGTTGTGTTTCTTTTTGGCCAGAAACTCTGGGGCAGGGGAATCCCCAAGGGGAGCGGGGCACTATGTAGATGATGGTACACGACTTTTGAGAATGAACACGTTCTCCGGCGTATCGCATTACCAGCATTTCTAAGGGCGGGGACATTGTGACATGGCTTTTAGTTATGAACAAAGCCCGTGTTGATTATGAGCCGAATAAAAGAGTGAGATATCCCCGAAGACTTTCATCAGCGAAGCGAATAACTACGTGGAGTTTGCCCAAGTACTTTTTAAAGATTACTTTATAGTAATAGGTAAACTAAAAGTACAAAACTTCCTGCTGAGGTCTTTATAATCCTATAAAGTTTCCTTTCTGGAAAGTGCGCTGCTTCGATTTGTTTGTGATTTCATTAGAAGCTGAGCCAAATAAACATGTCCAATCGACAAGGCGTAAACATACTCCATCGACTCCACTGGTGAATAGCTCTTTAATTCGATTCTGCACTCTGTTAGTCGGCCACTCCTTTCCCATATCAATCGGCTATAATTATGCTTATTACCAGCCATTCAACACCTACTCAAAAGTCCGTTTGCAGAGAGGGAAAAGCCAGATACAAAGAGTATAAATAAAGCACTCCTAAGACGGAGTAACTTATTCTCGAGTGCCGCCAGTTGCGGTGCCTTCTTGGCCAGGCAAAAATCGCATAAATTGCGAACAGGCCTTGGCTGTTGATTTCGGCTGACGGGCAGTCGAAAAATTCTGGCGGTTGTGGTGGTGGTGCTCAAATGTATCCGATGGATGCGGTTTTGGTTTTGGATAGCGGTTCTTTCGCTTTGGCTTTGGCAGTAGCCAGCCGAATTGCTGTGGCGAATTTATGAAAATTCTCTGCGCTTAACGGCAACCGCAACTTCAGCCGGCAACTCGAATGGTTCAAGAGGTTTTCGGGTTAGGATTGATGTGAAAATTGGCCAAGGCGATCTAACGTGAGGAGTTTTAAGAGGTGCACAAAGTAAGGCTTCTCCGCACTGTTGAATAACTCAAATGCCAAAGGGCCAAGCCGGATTTTGAGTTCTAACCATAACGGGCAGACTCCATGCAATACCGTCGTGTGTGCTGGGCAATAATAAAAGCGAAAGATGCTGCATAAAAGGCAACTGGCAGATTCCCAAAATGGTCACAGCAGGCGAAGCCAACGGAGCCTTCTTATGTCCATACACGTCGCCTCACTCTCGTATTAATTGCACTGCGAGGAAAAACAGGGAGGTATTGGAAACATTGTATTGGTTACAGGGGAAATAAAATGGCTTACAGAACAAAAAACATTATTTCATTGTTATTAAACAAGAAGTAGTAAACTGAAAATAATAGATAGTTCCTATTGACATTATAAATATGATATTGTAAATATTTAATATTATTTTACTTTTTAATTATTTGAATAGTAGAAAAAGGGTAAGAATTTTAAGTTTTAAAATGGCTTCAAATTTATTATAACAAATTAATATAAAGCAATTTAATAATTCTTATTAGAATAGTTATCATATAACGATCTTAAATTTCGATGTAGTGTTTTTTACCACTTTTTGAAAACTGAACTTTTTCTTTTTGTTTCGACCTCACCTTTATTTTTCAAGTGCAGTGCTTGGCTTTCCAATGAGCGTCTGGCTTTCAGAAGCTGTTGCCATGACAAATGCAACTCAAGTGATACATTGTACACAAAAGCAGCAGCGAAATGCAATGCAAACTAATGGCCAGCCAGGACGAGAAGTTTTTTAGGGGGGAGCAGGGAAGGAACAAGGACTTCATATGTATAAATACAGATGGCATCAGTGTTTCCACCGCCATGCGGAAATGTTTAGTGACTGGTCCAAAACTGCGTGGGCTTCTGTTTCTGGCTGCCTGGAATAGAGGAGCTGTGCGATGGGGAATAATGACACACAGGTGAATGCCACCGAGTGGCAAGAGGGGGGAATCAGCCATACAGCCATGCACAGTGGCAGCTATTATGAGAAACACACACACAGCATACACACACCATCCGTGGCTCATTCAGTCTGCCAGCAAAGGTCAAAGACATTTGGCAGCTGTTTCTGCCGCCTCACTCGTTCTGCATCTGTGCAAATCTCCGCATCTCCGGCAACAAATCAAAAATGCGTACTAAAGACGTAAATTCAATTTGTGCAGAAAAAAAGAGGGGAACAACATGCAGAAAATAAAGCGAATAAAGAGATCTCGGAGGCGCCCGGCGCATCACTCTTGACATGCGACACCTGAAAGAGGAGATTGCAGGCAAAAGATACGGATACGGATTGCATTCCCCACTCGTGACAAGCTGAACACTAGTTCTCGGGGGTTCTAAAGCAGTTTTGTGTGGGTATAGGATGTCAAACAAAATATACAAATCCATCATTAAGAATAAAGATACGAAGTTCACTTTTGAGTTATTAAAATAATATTTTATTTACCTTTATTACCACTCTAAAAAAAATTTAAAAATAAAAAAAAAAAATTAAAAGACTTTATAAGTTAAACATAAAGACTTGAAGTTTCAATAATTTTATTTTATGACCAAGGGCAGTGATATTTTTATGTTAAATTAAATCTTTCGGGTGTTTCCCAAAAATTATACATATTTTTATTCATATGCAATACACCTACAACTCAAAGAGAAATGAGCTCGAAGGAGTGCTTCATATGTTAAAAAATCGACATCCTCTTCAAAACTGCGCCGACAAAGGCCAACGAAACTCCGCAGACGTCTTGCCGAACAATATAAAATGCAAATAAAATAATATGAATGTAATTTGGTAAGATTGTGCCAAGTTTCGTTTGCTGTTTGTCTGCGCAGCGCCAAGGAAAATTATCTTGACGAAGGAGGAAAAGTCCTTTTGCAAAGCGGCATGCGTATTTAATTTGCAGTAGAAGCGGCGGCAACTTCATTTGTCTGTCAGCTTTGTTTTTATTGTCTGCCTTTTTATTCATTTAATACAATTGTTACCCGCTCTCCGCCTTTTTCTGGCTGACTTATTAATGGCCAACAACAATTGTGAGTAGCGGCAGCCGTAAGATACATTTGTATCTCAAGCTTTGTCTGCCATTTGGCGCGGCATCCCGTCCAGAACTTTATGTGCGCGACTTATTAAAAGTTAGTACGTTTTGTATTTTTATTCGTTTTTGTACTTCTTTCTTAATTTGCCTGCTTAATCAGACTTATGACTAATTGCGCTAACTTAAATGAAAAGCTCCGGAAAATTGTTAAGATTGCCTGGGTAATTTAAAAATGGTAAAAGAAAAAGGAAAGGCCTTAAAATATTTATTAATGTATACTGGTTTCTATCAGCATCGTTTTAAGTGCTTGTTGGTGCAATTGTAAGATTCCTTTTTTTAACAGAATGCATACCTTTCTAACTACTAATGAATGACCATCAAATGCAGCTTGTGTACGGCATAAAATTAAATTTTAATTTGATTGTTCGACAATTATAGACTCGGACATGGCAGCCAATCAACTATTTTCAATGGGCTACTTAACTACGCTTTTTACAGGACTGCAAACAAAAGTATCTTTGTCGTTTGACAATCAACGCGATATGCAAATTTATGAGCACGACTCATAAAAAATTTACTGCACCGCTGAGTTTTAAAGTCGTTGCTTTTTTCTCTTCTTGTGTTTTTATTGCACCAAGGGGCTTGGCGGCAACAAAATGCGACACGTTCATTAATTTATAAGCGAGAAATTATTTTTAAAAGTATCTTACAGATACGGTTACTGCAGTGCCGCCAATCTGCAATTGCAGACTGCCTATAAATATTTACAAGGGAGAGGGAGGCGTGGGCGTCTGGCATTGAAGCCACAAATGATTTTTTTTATAAAACATGAACTTGTAATTCGCAGTAAATTCATATCATATATTTGCCATTATATGTAGTTTTAATATTTTTATTCCTTTTATTTCGTTACAGACAAATTGCCCCCGCCTATGCAAAGGTCAATGGCGGCACTGCCATTCCGCTTCCTGCCACCGTGATGGTGCAACGTCGCTGTCCGCCAGACAAAGTGCGTCCACTGCCACCCACACCGAATCACACGCCATGTGAGTATCCCTTTTGGGTTTGGGAAATTTATTAAAAAATATTTTAAGCCCTCAGCCAGAAGGGGGTGCGTTTTTCGGGGGAGGTGAGGGACTCCCCGTTGTTTACCGGGAATAAACAAATTTCGGTCTCGGGTCTCAACAAACAACCCTCAAATGGGAAAAGCTGCCACTGCACTTAGCTTTACCCTTTAAAATGAGTCCGCTGGATGGAAATGTGACCGAGATTTTGTCCCTGGAGAAGAGATCCTTCCTCCGCATTCAGGACTCCCTGGGGAATCGTTTGGGGTTAGAATTCCGTACTTGTTTTTTCCAAAAAGGTGACGTTGATTTGTGGAAAAGGTAACTGAATTCTTCATTTAATTAGGAGGCTGGAGAGTACTTGAAAATCAAGGAATGCAAAGTCACTCAATTACGAAATTCTTTTGTTCAAATTGAATATTCAATTTCTTTACCTCTTATTCAAATTTCAATGATTAAAGCTGAGAAATTGAAACCTTATCAGTATTATTATTTTAAAAGTGCTAACAAGTGATTCGTCTTGTAATCAACATTTTATAATGCATTTATGGCACAATTTGTTAATCAGTGTCGCTTGTGGCGCTCGACTCACAGTCTTGATTGTATTTATAGAACATTTTCACTCTCCTGAATGATTTATACACCAAATATTTGGCTGTTCTCTGCGCCAACATAAATCTCAGAGCAGAGCAGAGTCTCCTCCCAATCTGTTATCAGCCTCACGCAAAGCAATTAATTAACTTTAACGTCCGCATTGCCCTTTTGCATTGATTTATAGGCTGACTCTCTCTGTTAAGTGGGCGCCGAAAATCGTAAATTCGAGTGGGTTGGCACAGTTCCTTAAAGCAATCGGTAACCTTCGATCTGGTTTTCATTTTCAGCGATACCGGGCCTGGGGAAGAGCGGAAGTGATTTCAACTCGAGCCGTCCAAACAGTCCGCCCACCAGCAATCACACGATCCAGAGCCTCAAAAGCGGTAACAATAACAGGTAAGATTTACAATATGTCGCTCCTTTACTAGGGCAGACCAGAAAATCTTCTTTAAAAGGGGAAATATTTTAATTACTAGTATAAAGAATAATGCAATATAGTATAACATAAACAACATATAATTACTGAAACAAATCTTTTAATATCTAACTAAAGTAAATAAAATTATAATTTTTTTTTAGGTTATTTTGGTATTGAAAAATAAAAACCAATAATTTTATTGTTCGAATTTATTTTTATATTTTTATATACCATACCAGCAAATCACTAATTTAATTTTTTAATTTTTAGTATTACATATTTAAACAGTTTAAAGATGTTATGTGTAAAAAAAAAAAAAACATTTAATAAAACCTGTAATTTACTGCTTCTAAATAATTTTTTATTTATTTAAGTAAATATTTTTTACTAATTTATTTATATTGATTTTGTTATAGCCTTCGACCGCCGAGCGTGAAGAGTGGCATTCCGTCGCCGAGCAGTCCGCAAACCGCTCCGCAGAAGCACTCGATGCTGGACAAGCTGAAGCTCTTCAACAAGGAGAAGCAGCAGAATGCGGTGAACGCGGCCTCGGTGGCTAGCAAGTCGCAGATCCAGTCGAAGCGGACCTCCTCCTCCTCGGGCTTCAGTTCCGCCCGCTCGGAGCGATCCGACTCCAGTTTGAGTCTGAACGATGGCCACGGCTCCCAGCTGAAGCCGCCCAGCATCAGCGTGAGTTCCCAGAAGCCGCAGCCCAAGACGAAGCAGTCGAAGCTGCTGGCCGCCCAGCAGAAGAAGGAGCAGGCCAACAAGGCCACCAAGCTGGACAAGAAGGAGAAGAGTCCGGCGAGGTCCTTGAACAAGGAGGAATCCGGCAACGAGTCGCGCAGCTCAACGATGGGCAGAACCGGAAAATCCTCTCTGGTTCGTGGAATTGGTGGAGTGGAGAAGAACACTCCGAAGACCGCATCCAAGTCATCGCTGCACTCGAAGTCGGATTCGAAGAGCTCTTTGAAGGCGCCGCAGCTGCTCCAGAGTCCCAGTGGTGGTGGAGGTCTGCCCAAACCCATTGCCGCCATCAAGGGAACGAGTAAGTTGCCCTCCTTGGGAGCAGGAGTTGGTCATCCTCCATCGACTCCAGATGGGCAACCAAATCAACAGCTGCTGAAGCGGGAAACCAGCGACATATCCTCGAACATATCGCAACCACCGGTGGTTGAGCCACCACCGGGCAACGCACATATCCCACCACCTCCCTACTACTCGAATAGTCAGCCACATCCGCAGTCACATCCACAGCCAGTGGGTCACATATCATCGCACGGGTATCTGAGTGAGCCTAGTACTCCGCAGCACAGCTCGGGAATCTACGGCAGCAGTCGCCTCCTGCCACCCAAGTCCGCGTTGAGTGCTCCTCGAAAGCTGGAGTACAACGCGGGACCACATATACTGGCCTCACCACCGCACCATCAGCGGCAGGGATTGCCGAGACCGCTGGTCAACTCGGCTCCGAATACACCCACTGCCTCCCCGAACAAGTTCCACACGATTCCCTCGAAGATCGTGGGCACCATTTACGAGTCCAAGGAGGAGCAGCTGCCACCACCACCGCCATCCGCCTCCAGTGGCAGCACCATTCTGCCCATGAGACCGCTGCTGAGGGGCTACAACTCCCATGTGACCCTGCCCACGAGGGGAGCACGCGGTGGCCACCACCCACATCAGTCGTACTTGGACTTCTGCGAATCGGACATTGGCCAGGGTTACTGCAGCGACGGGGATGCCCTGAGAGTGGGTAACTCCCCTGGCTCGTCTCGGTTCCACGACATCGACAATGGCTACCTCTCGGAGGGCAGCAGTGGTCTCAGTGGAGCCAGTTCCTCCGGCGGAGGCATCTCCCATGGAAAGCACTTCCTCAGCATGATGCGGGCTCGCACCCAGTTGCCCACAACCATTGAAGAACGGTGAGTGAAAGAGATTTTAAAGATACTAAAGCCAAGTATAAAATCTGAAATAATTCATAGAAATATAACTGGATAATTATATAGGATAGGAAAGTATTTTAAATGCCTAGGATATTTTATACAATTGTTTTAAACCTTGGCCATTGACCTTAAATACGAGTACCTACTTAGTTAAAAAATAATTTATGTTTTTCTCTAAGCATAAGTTCAACTCATTTTACATTTGGGAGGTTTAATAAATAATTTAGATACAAATTTAAATTGATTTACATTTTTGTTTATATCTAAGTGAAAACATTCTGGGTTATTTCTTCACCCACACCAACCACATTTTAATAAGCCTTCCTTGGTTATTTGGCCCTCTCAATCAGCAGTCACTTTCTTGCCACTTGCCGTGACTCATCTGAAAGTTGCGTCTTAAGGCAATGTTGGCTCCGCTGATGACACCAATGAGTCAACCAGAAATCGCCGTTGTTCGAGTATCGCCTTGTGTTGTTGGAATCGCTGGTTGTTTCCAAGAAGATGGAACCCGCCTGTTGGGTTCTTTTTAAATGTGTCGTGTTCTTTTGTCGCCCAGTGGTGGGCAATAAAGCGGAATTTAAATGGTCGAATTTCCTGGTCGGCTACGACTTTGACTTCAGGCCTCAGTGCACTTTGTATGGTTTTGGGTGTCATTTCACCCAGCTGGCTTTTTTTTTATAATTTTTTTTTTTGTGAGCACCACGCACAATTTGGACACACTTTTGGTGTCAGGGGCAGACAACAACAATCGTCAGTCAGTCGAGGGCCTCTCATCGGCATGTGAAGCAGTTAATTGCGATGGCAGCCACTTGACGACCTTAACAACTTCCCGCAGGATACACAGGAGCAGCCACTTGACAAAGGAGAGCCGGGATCTGGGCTCAAATTTGCCAATTTGCATAAAATCCACTCGATGTCGACTGCCGGGTCCCAGGATCGCACTTCTGTTTCCGCATGTCAGATGTCATTTACAAATTGTCAACGGCAGGCTGACAATCGACAATGCTCACCTGTCAACAGGAAATGCTCCTTGCAAAGGATATTGATTCACAAACGGGCAGAAAATCCCCATTTCCATGGCAATAACACTTGACCCTCTGCCACAAAAACAAAAAAAAGGTTAGGGAACTGCAGACAACAAGACACTCTCTTTATTGTTCCCAAAATATTTCAAGTTCGAGATATTCCTTCAATATTTTGTTTTACATTGTATTATTCTAAATTTGGTTCATTTGTTTTTTTACACGGTTTTAATGCTTTACCTCATATTCTGGCAGACTTTATGCCTTCCACAACCAACTCACTAAAGGGAAGGATTAGAGCCCAAGGTCCTTCATCAGCTCCCGATACTGAATAAGCCTTGTAGCGCCTGACCAAATTGGCTAAACCCACATTTTCCCCTCTTGTAAGTCGAAATTGCTTTGAAAACTTCTCGTAGAACGTAACCAATTCGGGCAAATGACGTATTTTAATGTTTATATCGGTCGATGGATTGTCGTAGATTGCCAACATTTGATGAGCCTTAGCCGTATATTCGGCGTTACTTTGAGCACGTCCTGATTCCAAAACGCATCCCAAAACAAGCAGAAGGTAGCTAAAAATATTAAACGGCTCTTAGCAACTCGGTTTCGAACTTCGACATCTGTTTACCTCAATCGTAATGCGAAATTCATCTTTTTTCTGCTGATGTTGCACTGTGTACTCTTTGATTGAAACTCATAAGTAAAGTGTTAAGCGCCTCTGTATTTATAGCATGCTGGATGCAATCGCGTTATCAAGACATAGTTTTCTTGAATTCCTTGAATGCAAAATAAGGAGAACACGTTATTACAAGGAATGTTCTATTTCAAGAATCGAAAGAGATTAATATATAGGTATTGTAGTAGATTTTCTTATTGTCAAGTTCGAGTTTTGGTTTATTTTCTTTTTATGTTATATTTACATTCATATTACCAACATTAAGAAATGACATTTTTTAGCAAAGTTCTTGAGTTCCACCGACTTTTTCAATCGGCCAAAGCTTTGTTGGCCGCTCCCATAATAAGATCGATAACGACAGGCAATATGAACATCCAAAATCCTCCTTGAGGTGGCACACCATCTTCTTGCAATGCTTCTTGTTCCCTGTATTTTTTTACGGCAGTGTCTATGGATGAACGCTCCTCATCTGTGAGTTCTAGGCGACTGGAGTATTTCTCGTAGAAGTCTGCCAATTCGGGCAAATTGCGCTGTTTAGTGGTGATATGAGCCTTTGGATTGGCATAGATCGCCAACATTTGGCGAGCTTGTTCCGTGAATTCGGCGTTACTTTGAGCATGTCCTGTTCCCAGGAGGCATCCCAAAACCACCAGAAGGCAGCTGTAAATATTGAATGGATTCTTAGCTGCAGGACTTCACACTTCCGAAAAATATTTACCTCAATTGAATTGCGGAATTCATGTTTATCTTCTTATGGTGCTCTGTCTACGAATAGATTGAAACTCATAAGTGAAGACTTGACCGCCTCTGTTTTATAGCACTCTGCAGAAAGCAGCATTATCATGGGATTTTTTTACTTCCCAGGGAATGATGTTATCAAGGCTATAAAGGTTAAAATAGGCACTCGTCAAAAAATAAATAATGATAATGATATCTTTAATGCGAAAAAAAGCCCCAGACCTTTTCGACCCCTTAGCATCAGCATCCGATTCGATATAGCTATATCAATGTGTCACTTAGATTTCCTGTTTGTATGCTTAGTAATTATTGTTATATTATTATTTGCTGGTGCGCAAAATTATGAGAAAATAAAATCGCAAAGAATGTTCTATTTCAAGAATATATATTCACATTCAAGGTACAGTTTAAGTAATGTTTATGTTGAAAAGATATTCTTTAGGCAGAGGTCTTGAATTTCACCCTTTGGCTTTTTCAGTTACCCAAAGCTTTGGTTAATCCAGTTACGAGAAGCTCAATAACGGAAGGGATTAAGATTGACCAAAATCCTCCCTGAGCCGGAACACCATCGATGGTCATTGCTTCTTGAGCCCTGTATCTCCTTACTGCAGTATTTAAAGTAGACCGCTCCTCATTTGTTAGTTGCAGGCGACTGGAGTATTTCTCGTAGAACTCGACCAATTGGGGCAAATTACGTTGTTTGGTGGTGACAGGGGTCTTTGGGTTGCCATAGATTGCCAACATTTGGCGAGCCTTAGCCGTGAATTCAGCGTTACTTTGAGCATGTCCAGATCCCAAAAGGCATCCAAAAACGACCAAGAGGCAGCTGAAAATATTAAAGGAAATTGTAGGAGCACGATCTCATTCCTTTGAGAAATATTTACCTCAATTGAATTGCGGACTTCATATTTTCTGCTGCTCAATTCAAATGTTCGATTGTAACTCAAATGTAAAGCTCTGGACTCCTCTGTATTTATAGCATTCTGTATGCAACTGCGTTATCATGACAGATTTTCCTTGAATTCCATGAAAATTACTTTGTTTTTGTTTTATTTTTCCCGTTTAAGAATTGTAATGTATAAATATACAGCATCTTTGATTATCAAGGTCAGTTAACGTTCTGAAGAAATCACTGAATGTTATCAGTACTCAAGGCAAAGCATGCATATTTGTTACATTATTATTTCCTTGTTTGCAAATTAAGAAGAAACGTTGTTATTCAGAATTTTGTATTTCAAGAATCAATAGAGATAACGTTTTGCGAATAATTGTTTAGCATATCTGAAAACAAAATAAATTAGGCTATTCATTAGATTATATAATCTTGGGATTTTGAAGAAAAAACCCATCACAACAAGGGCAGCTGTTCCAGCATAAAATTAAATTCTGTGAGTTTATTTTTCCTATTCCACCAATAACTTCAGAAATGAGCTTTGCCCACACATCAACGCGTTTCATTAAAAAGCGCTTATGGACTGTGGATGGGAACTTAAATGAGAAAATGGGACTGTCTGAGGCTTTTCCCCATTTTCATTAGCTTGCGGTTCTGTCAGCGCGTTTGATCTGAGAAATTAATGCAATGCCATGACCAGAACTGATCCCTTGTAAATGGGAACAGCTGTTGCGAAGTTCAAAGGCATCGAACCCCCGACCAACCCGAGAACATAAATAGAAAGTTACCCTGGAGCGACTTTTGAGCCTCGGTCACGTAGTGCAGTTGGAAAATATTTTGTAATTGAATTTTAATGCACGCTGGCTGGCAACCTGTCGCATTAGTGTCAGTGGCACTGCCACAGGACACTCGGCGAGTCCTCGGGGGCAGGAGCTAATCAGTTGCGGCCCAGACACCTGCAGGACATAATTTCCGAAGCCCAACAAGTGAGCCCCGGTCTTATGACGCCTCAACATGCGTTGTCTAGCCATGCAAGTAAATCAAAATGCAACAGGGATATGGCGGGTAGAGGAGTAAAATGTGCGGCAAAGGATGCAGACGGTTAGGTTCCAGCCAGACAGGATGTTCCGGATGGGAATGGGAAGTTGGCCAACTGGACGCACATATGGCGGCATCCTTGGTATCCTGCAACAGCCTTGTTGGACCTTGGAAATCCCAGCCACCTTCTTTCATTTAATAAAGCATTTTTCAATTCATTTGATTTATGGCACGAGCGTGCCATTTTTACTTACTAAAAGAATTTTAGGAGAATGAAATATTAAAAGACCTTTTACATTAAGCGACACCTTTAATATTTTGCCCAGTGAAATCTGAATTCATTCTGCTGGTTTTAAAATAAATTCCCTCATCTCTAAATTCGCTGCTTAAAGGTTATTTTACTCATTTTGTTAATTTTCATAACCACAGCGCCACGCACAAATTGAAAATAAATTTCGCACTCAACGCCACACCACCAGGAAATAATGCCTGGAAATTGTTTTTATTAATTCAATCCGGAACTCAGTGAACCAAGGGCCGGGGACTAAAAATGTATCCTGACCGGGCAATTCCACCTGTCTGCTGTCCACTCGAGTGTTCAATGGCAAACTGACCCACGGCAGCCTCGTTTTGATACGCTTTATTTGGGCCCAATTTGTTATGCCTCTTATTTTTTTTTTTTTTTTTTTTGGATAACCCTTGTTTGGGGTTTGGTGTCGAGATGGGTTAAATGAACCGAACATTTTTGGGGTATTCAATTTGTTTGGACGTCCTTTCACATTAACGCTCGTGTGACGCATTAGAACATATTTTATTTATTTAAGTGGCTAAAAAAAACTTGCCATGTGGGATAAAAAAGATTCTAGTCTACTATTACAATTTTTGATCGCATTCCTCTTCGAGTTGGCACATTACGCACATTATGGATTCCTAAAACGCGGCGAAATATTTTCGCCATTTCATCATCAGTTTCTATGTTCTGATTTGCTTGTCCTAATCCCAGAAGGCATCCCAAAACAACCAGAAGGCAGCTGTAAATATAAAGGGACGCTTAGCAACAGGATTTCCAACTTTCAAGAAATATTTACCTCAATTGAATTGCGAAATTCATGATTATTCTTTTGATTTTGCACTTTCTACGGATAGATCGAAACTCATACGTTAAGCATTAACGCCACTATATTTATAATACTCTGGATGAAACTGCGTTATCATCATGGGCTATTTCCCAATTATGTTATCAAGACTAAACAAATTTTGTATGCATTCATCTAAAATTTAATAATTATAATGATGGCATTAACACCGGAAGACCTCTCCGACCCCTTAAAGCGTATATATATTCTCAATCGTCATCCCCATCCGATTCGATAATGCGCTGTTAACCTGTCACCTTTATTGTCTGTTTCTACGCCAAGTAGTTTATCAATCTTAAAGACATTTTGCTAGGACTTTACGGAACGATTTGTTACTTTAACGGGTAGTATATATTGCAGAACAACTATATCATATACTTACGTTTTCCGACATCGCTTTGAAGCCTTACGACCGGAAACAGGACTCCCATATTTTACCCATGTAAATAGTTGTATACAAATATTTTACAAATTTATTTTACATATATTCTACACGCCATGTGGTTCCGAAACTGGCTGAGCAAATATACCAACCTTTATTTTAGTACAAAGTAGATGTGGACAGAATTTGAAAAGAAATTTAAAAAGCTGATAACAGTTTAACTATTATCTAAATAGAATATATACTTTCTGAGGTTAAATATGTATATAAAAAATACAAAACAAAAAAGCATATATTCATTTTGATTTCATTGTGTTTTCTTTGTTCAATTGAATTATGCAAAATGCAATTTACCACATTGCTTGCTTGACAAATAAATTGCAACAGTTGTCAGGCTTAGCCAATCAAAACCAGCTGCATTTTTCCATACGCCAGAGAACCAAGGAGATAAAACTGCATTCGCTGTGGCTTAAAGTCAACTATTTTTCCATTCGAACCCACCCACGGCATGTGCTAAACAATTAAAAGCAACTCAAAGCGTGTGGCAAAGCAATCGTGAGCCTTTAAGCCATAACTGACCTTTCCACATGCCTCAAACTAACATTCGCACATATATTTGTGTGTTTTTGTATGGTTGCGGTTTGGACCTGGCTAACAGCGTCTGAGACTTGGATTTTGGCTTAATCGTTTTCCAATAGCTTTGCCAAAGCTGCAAGCCATTTTTCTTACTTAGATTTAACGTTCGTTGTTTTGTTTTTGAAAGCATTTTTATTAAATTTTAATTGACAGATTGTCTAGTAGTCATTATTATTTTATAAAACCTCAGAGAAACTTCAGCCTTTAAGTATTTTAATAAACGATTTTCGAAACACTTGCTACTTTAAGTTTTTTATTTCTTTCTATCAGTAGGATTCTTTGGCATTTGGATAGCAACTACTCTTTCTTTTTCCACCTACAATAATTATTATTTTCACAGTGGAAATCAGTGATTTACTGACTGATTGAAGTCCCCCTCCATTTCACAAGATTAATGAGCTTCGGCAAAATAATGAAAAGCCATAAAAAGTTCTATGCGTGCATATGGTGCTTGGATATCGCTGTCAATTAATGAATTTCCATCGTCGACCACAAGATTTCAGCAACTTGCCAGCCAATCAAGTTTCGCTTTTCATTCACCAAACACTTGTGAATATTTTTTGCAGTTTTTTTTTTAATTTGTTGTTGTCTTACATTGCAACAGAATAACCAGCCCGCCCTTGGCTCAATTATTTTTGGAGTTTAAACCGGGCTGACGAACGCCCAAACAGTGCGAAACAAGTTTCAGTTTTTTGGACTCGGAAATAAGAGTGAGAGAAGGCGAATTTGTTTTCGAACTTGACTTTTCTCTTAAGCTTCAGCGCACAGCTGTAATTTTCCTCTCTGCCAAACTGTGGCTGAAAGACATTTGTTGCTTTGGCAGACAGCTTGGCTAAGAGTGGGTCGAAGTGGGTGGAAAAAACTACCACCGCGACCAACCCACTCGGTTGTCGGAAATTCCCTTACTCTGCTCCTGGCCATGATTCATATCATATGGCAGGACTCAGGACTTGGGACTCAGGACTCAGGACTCGGGACTCAGGACTCAGGATTAAACTGAAAGAAAAAAAAGCGCAGCTAAGGAAAAAGGAAAATGTAAGACCGCTTTTTATATGTTCGTACTAGAGAACCATAAACCCGAATAAATGTCGCCCAAAGAGAAAGGAATATGACAGTTTTATTAGTGGTTCATTTCCTGTTGACTTTTAGTAGCTGTAAATTTATAGAGGAACTTAAGAACTGTTTTATAAGTTCATAAATACAAACAGTTAAATTAAAAAAAAAATTTTTGAGCTATTGATATTTATAAAAAAAAACTTTAGTTGCATTTAAAACTTAAAACTTACAACCTCGGAACATAACTTATAAATTTAAAAGCCAAGTTCTCTGATAAAAAACTGTTGTGTATAGTCAGCAATTTCTTTATCTTCATTTAACGATTTTCTCAACAAAGCTCTATAAATTTCAATCGCGAAATGACAGCTTGGGAATCATGTTGCCAACTTTAACCGAACTTCCATTTCGGCAAACTTTTCCACCGATTGCCGCCTTTCCTCCGTTTTTTTTTGCGAGCCTTGGCAAATTATTGTGGTGCGGGGCTGCTTAACTATTAAACAAGTGCGTGGCCAAGAGAGCTGAAAAAATACGCCCAAAGCGCCGAATGCCAAACTTCGTGGTGGTAAACAGACAGACAGACAGGTATGTGTAGTCATACAGAAGTGGCAGTCAGGTGGGCAGGTGTCTTGAATTCGACTGGCGTTGCATGTCAGGAAACCTTTTACTTTCAACACAAAACGCCGACAGGCAGGAAGACAAAGTTCTCTTATTCCCGCTTGCTCTCTTTTTTGGCTCTCTTAAAACGGTTGTTCGAATTTTCCCTGCTTTTCGAACTTTGAGTTTTCCGTGGCAGAACTGAAGAGCAACCCCAGAAACGCATTTGAACACTCGGACTTTGCGGTCGCCCCATGAAAATGCTGCGGCAAAAGCGGAAAAACCTCGTGCGTTCGTTCAAATATTTAAGTTTATTAAATAAATATTAAATACAACAAATATTTTATAAATAAATAAAAGAACA